TTTTTTACGGACTATCGAGCTCTCAATGTTGTCGCGGTAAAAGATTGCTTCCCAATTCCGACTATGGATGACATGCTCGACGAGCTGCACGGGTTTCCTATTTTACGAAGATGGACCTTCGAGCCGGATATCATCAGGTGAGGATGCATGAAGACAACATTTCTAAAACTGCCTTCCGCACCCACAACGGCCATTACGAATACCTCGTCATGCCCTTTGGGTTGTGCAACGCACCGTCCACTTTTCAGGCCCTAGTGAAGATATATTCCGAGCACATCTTCGCAAGTTCGTGCTCGTATTCTTCAATGACATCCTCTTATACAGCGCCGATCAGGTTACTCACGTGAAGCACCTGCGCCAGGTATTCCTGATACTCCGTCAGCATCGATTTTTTGTGAAGTTCTCTAAATGCGCATTTGGCTTACAAGAGCTAGAATACCTGGGGCATATGATCACCTCTGATGGCGTCAAAGTCGACCCCTAAAAAATTCAATCTATGGTTGAATGTCCACATCCTATCAACGTCACAGAGCTTCGAGGATTTCTCGGCCTTACCGGTTATTATCGCAAATTCATCAAGAACTACGGACTCATTGCCCGACCGTTTACCCAACTGCTAAAGAAAGGACAATTCCTCTGGACAAGTGCAGCCGATGATGCTTTTGAAGCTCTAAAAGCGACTATGACTATAGGTGTCAATCGGGCGGGTTCAAACGGGTCCCGGGTTGATCGGATTGCGGGTCAATCGGGTTGAAGGTTGATCGAGTTGCGGGATAATCGGGTTCGGGTTGTCCGGGTTGTGGATCAATCGGGTTGCGGGTTGATCGGGTTGTTGGTTAATCAGGTTCGGCTTGATCGGATTGCGAGTTACTCGGGTTATGAATAGGTCGAGTTGCGGGTTTTTCGGTCCAAACCATCGAGTTATCTTTTTTAAATAATTAGTTATTACACAATTAAAACAAACTCACCAATCATTATTTGGCAATGAAAAAAGTCGATAAGGAACACAATTTATTGTTTCGGCTTTGGGAATGTGTTTAGCAAGCTTGAGTTAGGCCTTTCTTTTACTTCTTAACAATTGAGACAATTGATTAAAGAATTAAAAAAACATATATTTATGGTTAATATATATATATATATAGCGTACGCCCGGGCGTACGTTAGACTACAGTACGCCCGTTTGAATTTTGCTATTTAGATAAGGAATTAACCGGAATTTTGGGCATGATACTATACCCTAACCACTAATGGATAAACCCCAGTCCCTAGTTTTCTAACCCAAATCGTGAGATTCGTTTAATCTTAAAATGAAAATCAACAATAATTTCGACGAATCAGAACCGTTGATTTTCATTTCAAGATTAAATGAATATTATTATTTGGGTTAGTGAATTGCGGACTGGGGTTCACCCATTAGGGGTTAGGGTATAGTATCGTGCCCCAAACTCCGGTTAATTTATTGTCTAAATTGCAAAACTCAACGGGCGTACGGTAGGCTAGGGTACGCCCGGGCGTACGCTAGCCTTTGCCATATATATATATATATATGGTGGCTTCTATGGTATCCCGGGTGAAATCCGGGGTACCGCATACCTCGAGTATGGAAACTCTATCTAGACATCGAATTACCAGGACTTTTGTGTCTGTTATTATACCCTAACCCTTAATGAGTGAACCCTAGGTCATAATTATCTAAATCATAATCTATAAACCCTAAGATGGTGCATTCCTTTTTGTGTCTATATTTGGATGAATCATAACCGTCGATTATTATTTCTAATTAAATTGATCTTGGAGTATAAGATTGGGAGAGTTAACACCTAGATTTTGATCTTGAAGTGTTAGAGTATAGTATCATGTCCGAAAGATTGGTCAATTCAAGGTCTAGATAGCGTTTTCATACTCAAGGTATGCGGTACCCCGGATTTCACCCAGGGTACCATAGAACTCGCCATATATATATATATATATATATGGCAATATATATTCTTAACAATTGAGACAATTGATTAAAGAATTAAAAAAACATATATTTATGGTTAATATATATATATATATGGTGGCTACTTCGGTGCACTCGCTTTTTTGGGTGCATTCAGTGCACCCACCTCTAAAAGTGGTCACAATACACCAAATTTTGAAATTTAATGGGTAGCATTAGTCTCATATGATGATAGAACACAAAATCACAACTAATCAACCCATTACCCTAACCTATTAACATTCATTTTGAATCTAAACCCAAAATCCCAAATTGTAAACCCTAACCCTAACTCTAAATTCCTAAACCCTGAATCATTCAAATTAAAGTGAATCTTGAATGATTTTTGTACAAATTCATGTGGTTCTTGTTCATCATACTACAAGGGATGATTGACATCGTTTTCACATGAATCGTCTGCTCAGAATGACGATTATGAGGCGGGTGCATTGAATGCACCCAAAAAAGTGAGTGCATCGAAGACATAACCATATATATGGTGCCTTCTATCGTACCCTGGATAAAATCTAGGGTACGACATACCTTAAGTAAGAAAATGCTATATAGACCTCGAATGAACCGGATTTCGGGACATGATACTATACCATAACTCTTGATGAGTGAACCCTTGGTCTTAGTTATCTAAATCACAGACCCTAAACCCCAAGATTGTGCATGTAATTTGTTTCATATATGTTGACGAATCATGACCGTCGATTTTTTATTCTAATTAAATTCATTTTAGTGTATAATTTTTTTAGAATTAAGGCCTAGATTTTAATCTATAAGGATTAGGGTATACTACTATATTGCAAACTCCGATTAATTCGAGATCTAGATAGTGTTTTTTTACTCAAGGTATGATATACCTTTGATTTTACTCAAGGTACGATAGAACCATCCATATATACATATACATACATATATATATATATATATATATGTTCTTTTGGTAACAGAGGCGTTTACATATTTGAGAATTGGTGGGTGGGGGAATTTCGGGAAAATATTTGAGGGTTTTCAAAAGTGTTTTTACAGGTTTGGGAGGAAATTTTATAACAAATATTTAGAGGGTTTTCAAGAGTGATATTTACATTTTAGATTAAAAAAAAAATTCTCAACTTTTTGGTGAACATCTAATTCTACCTTTCTTTAATATTTATTATTATAGATGATAAATAAATCTTATATCGATTAGCTAGTTTGTTGTCTAACTCGTTGGTCGGAATGTCATTTGAATATGATATATTTATGATGTACATTCTAAAGTTTTCAAAATATTTGAAATTTATATTTCTACCCAATAACTAAATTAGTTGTTAAAATCGAATTATATCATAAAAATATGAAAACCGAAAAGTAAAACACCAAACAAATACTAACGGAAGAGTTAGTGGGCTAGTTAACCTTAATGAAAAGTCATATGTGTTTAAGATTTTAGGTTTCTATGATGAAATTGTTGATAGAACATATGTTATGTGAAGAACGCAAGTTAAGTCAATTTTATATTAGGTTATTGTGAAGAACATACGTCCTAATCCTCCTAAGCCTAAACCATGACCTCTAACCCTAAACCCTGAACTCTTGTTACATGTCATGAAATTGTTGGTAGAACATAGGTTATGTGAAGAACGTAGGTTAAGTCAATTTTAGATGTTATATTACTGTGATTCTATATAAGTCCTAATCCTGAGATTCCTAAGAGATCCACATCAATGGAATTGCAAGGTCAATTACATATGAAGTTCTTTTTTCCACTTCAATATTTTTGCAATCCAACACATATGAATGTCATTGCACCTACATCAATGCAATTCGCTTACAATTACATACAAAATTAAATATTATGACTTAAATTATAGACAATAAAATTATGTCCCTACCCCTTTTAATGAAATACCACAACCAATAACCCTTACAAGTTACAACCAAACTAGATATTTAAATACAAATAACACACAAATAATACATCCCCTAAAAATGATGAGTTATTTAACTATACGAAGACCACATTCATGCATAACTCATTCAAATGACTCTCAAGTTTAATTTAAATCAATGTGTTTTGTTTTTCATATTAAGTCAACTTTAGATTTTTTATAAAATAAATTTTAAGGATGGTCTTCCTAAGTTGTGAACCATTAATTATAAGTTAATTTTTTATTTTGAAATTCAGTGTACAAAACGTAAAAAAAAGTTGCTTTGAGTACGTTTTGAGTCTAGAACTTTGAATTGAAAAGACTATAACAAAAGGCAACTAGTTCCAAACCAATTTGTCACAATTATAACTTGTTGTTTATATTATCATTTGAGAAAGTTTTAGGTTGTGAAAAATAATAGGTCGACCTACGTGTCTATTAATACTTGGGGTGGGCAAACGGTTCGGTAAACCCGAACCGAAACGAAACCGAACCAAAACTGAGTTAATGCTATTTGGTTCGGAATTCGGAAGGAAAATATGGATAGTTCGGAAATCAGGGTTCTTTCAACCGAACCGAATTTCTGAATTTCCGACCGAAAAACCGATATACTATAATTGCAAGCTCCAAATGGTGGGTTTTTATGTTTGTAGTTGTTTTTAGACTTAAATATTTGAAATGTTTTATGACTTATGTGTTGAAAAGTTTGGTTCTATCATTGATGATGCATGTAATTGATAATTATTGTTTATATTAGGGGTGAAAAATAATTTAAAAGTGAGAAAATACAAGTAGCTTCACAAATTCGTTTTGAGATTTGTGAGAATTCGGGGACCCAGTATTCATAATTTCGGTTCGGTCGAAATCGAACTGACCGAATGTCCACCCCTAATTAATACTATTATGTGATTTAATTTAATAGGAATTGTCAATTGTCAACAAAAAGTAATAAGGCTTTGTTGCTGGCGGGAAAGATGAAGTTCAGTAGCAATCGTCAACAGTCTCAACACAAAGTAACACCTTGTTGCTGGCGGGAAAGATAAAAAAAGGCAAAGCCCCTTAAATATATATATATATAATCCACATATAAGATTTATATACTACAATATATTATATAGTATAATTATTATCCGTGTCAATCGGGCGGGTTTGAGTTGGGTTTATCGGGCTCGGGTTAGTCGGGTTGCGGGCCGAGCAGGTTGCGGGCCGAGCGGGTTGCTGGTCAAACGGGTTCTGAGTCCAGCGGGTTTGGGTCAAGCGGATTGCGGGTCAAGCGGGTTGCGGGTCAACGGGTTGCAGGTCAAATGGGTTGCGGGTCGGGCGGGTTACTCGGTTCGGGTCATGTTTTAGTCAAATCGAGTTGCGGGCGAGTTGCGAATTGCTTTGGTTGAGCGGGTTACTCGGGTCGGGTCATGTTTTGACCCCTATAGCTATGACCACAACTCCCATTCTCGCAATGCCCGACTTCACCAAACCATTCATCGTTGAAACCGATGTGTCGGGCAGGGGCTCGATGTCATCTTAATGCGAGAAGATCGACCTATCACTTTCATGAGTCGAGCTTTGGGGACTCAAAAGCAATGGTTGTCCGCCTATGCCAAGGAAATGATGGTCGTCATTGCTGCAGTTCAACTATGGAGACCCTACTTACTTGGCCGCAAATTCTATATTTGCACCGACCAACGTAGCTTGTGGTTCTTGTTGGAGCAAAGGATCACGACTCCAGAACAACAAAAATGGGTAACAAGATTATTTGGTTATGATTACGAAATCATGTACAAGCCCGAAAAGGAAAATCAAGTTGCGGATGCTCTATCCCGCAGGCCTTTGATCTCTGGAGAAACCGACAAGCCCACTATGGAGGAATGGCATGCGCATGCACCAACTAAAGCTCCCTTGGCCCACAAAGTCGTGGCCCATCTCCCACCTGATGACAAGCAAGATCCCAATTTAGAAAAACCACTAGAATGCTTTAGGTCCCCAACCGTACTTCACCAACTCACGACTCTTCCTTCCGACGAAAATGTCGCGGGGATTCTGGTGGATCAGGATCTGCCAGGGGAAGATCAGGAATCTCGGCACAATTATGCCGAGGATATGCTTCACGGGATCTCCTACCTCTTCACAACTCTTGGGGACTCTTTAAAACATGCTACTGCCAACGATCCCTACCTACAAGCTGTCAAAGAAAAAGTGAGATCCCTTACTCCTGGCCACTTCTCGGTGAAAGATGACATGGCCCTGTACGATGAGAGACTTGTTCTCTCCGCAGATTCCCCTCTCATCAACCAGCTGCTGCAAGAGTATCACTCCAAACCCACCGGCGGTCATTCAGGAGTACTGTGCACCTATAGGAGGCTGGCAGCCCAATTCTTTTGGCCCGACATGCTGGAGACCGTCAAATGATTCATTGCCGGCTGCGACCCCTGCCAGCGAGCGAAGTCTCAATCACTAGCACCAGTAGGTCTACTTCAGCGGCTACCAATCCCGTATCTCATATGGGAAGAGCTCTCGATGGACTTCATCGACAGGTTACCATCATCGACTGGGAAAACTGTAATCTTCTTGGTGGTGGACCGGCTGACCATGGCAGCCCATTTCATGGGACTCTCACATCCATACACTGCAAAAGTTGTGGCTGATGCTTTTTATTAATGGCGTCGTCAAACTCCATGGCATCCCCCGTTCAATCGTAAGTGATCGCGACCCCGTTTTCGTCAGTCATTTTTGGCGTGAACTATTTCATCTGTCAGGAACATTGCCGCCTATGTCGTCATCTTATCATCCCCAAACGGACGGCCAAATAGAGGTTGTGAACCGCAGCCTGGAGCATTATCCGAGATGCTTCACGCATCAACAACCACGACGTTGGATGGTGTTTATGTCTTGGGCTGAATACTGGTACAATACCACGTACCATCGCTCAATCGACATGACACCGTTCCACCGCTATTCCTTTTTACCAAAAGGATGGCACTGCAATTCATGAGGTGGATCAGGCATTGCTGGAAAGTAACGAGGTTCTTATGGAGCTCAAAATTAATTTGCCCAATGCCCAATCAAGTATGAAGCAACAAGTTGATGCCGGTCGAAGGGACGAGAATTTTGAAGTAGGCAACAAAGTGTTCTTGCGCCTCCACCCGTATCGCCAACATTCAGTCTATCGTCGTGCCTCCCAGAAATTGGAGGCCCGATTCCATGGGCCATACCTCATCACCGAGCACGTCGGACCAGTCGCCTATCGCTTAGGCCTTCCAACCGGCTCTCGAGTGCACCGGGTCTTCCATGTTTCCTTGCTCCGCCGCTGCTCTACGGTGGAGACTCCATTAAACTCTACCATCCCTCCCATTGTAGATGATGGTGCCCTTGAAATCCTTTCTGAGACAATCCTTGACACCCGCTGGGTCCGTCAAGGCAACAGGGTCATTGAAGAGTCCCTGGTGAAGTGTCGTGCTCTGCCTTCCGAGGATGCCACATAGGAGCTGACCTCCAACTTGTTTGAGCGATTCGATGATTTTAGCCTTGAGGACAAGGCCATACTTCCAGGGGCGGGCAATGATGAGCCCATGAAGGCTCGTGAGAGGAAGAAACCAAGGGAGCCCAACCATGCAGACCATGCAACGAAAGATGGGCCACCATGTGGCTGAAGGGAGGAAAGCTCATCTATGAGGAACCACTGCTGCTTACGTCGGAATTTGTTATTTGTTTTGATATCATTTGTATTTGATTGTTGCTGGTACAATTTGATTTGTTTTCATATAAGTTAGGTGTAGGGAGATTATTTCTCCAGATCGTATGAGATTTGGGATGATCTTATGTGAATCCCAATCTTTCCTTTGGTTTTATAGCACTCTATATAAGGAGGCTGAATTGGAATAAGAAAGCAGCAAAGATTCGACGAAAAAGAAAAGAGCCAAAGCTGGCTAGCAATCACCGCAAATCCAATCAAATAACCCCTTTGATTTTACACTTCCAACAGAGGTCGACAATGTCGTGGGTATAATAGTGTTGTGAGTTAACAACATCGCGTACCCAATCAATGACATCGTAAGATAAAACGATGGTGTTTTTTTATCAATAGCGTAAGAGTTGCAATCCTAGCAACATAGTTGGAAGGACATCGTTATACCAACGTTGTTGACGGAGGTATGATCAACATCGCAAGTTCGTAAAGACAACATCATCTTTGCAACTTTGTTGCACGTAAGATTCACGTCATGAGGAGGAGATCGAGGCATTTGAGACACGTGGGAGTTCACGACGGCGCAGTTGAGGAGGCAGTTTCACGGAGGGGTGATTTTGTGAAGGCTACACATATGGTTTCAGATAAAATCACCGGAGCTAGTAGAGAGAAAAGGGAAAACCAAATCAACACAGAAACACATCTGTCAAACTTTACTTTTTTTCCTACAACTCCCTCGCGGAGCTATCCTTCCAGGAAGAATCTCCATATTCGTAGTCATAGCGTAGTCGCGGAGCTCTCTACAGGAATCTGTATAGGAGTAGATCTAACATAGATTCCCTAAAAAACTCAAACCACCTCTTTCGAACATTGTTCATAGAGGTGAACCGAGTAACAATCATCTTGGTTTTCAGACGTAAGAGGTGCATCGATCAAATCAACACCGTCGGTGGATATTTGCCTGTCGTCTTGATTTCAGCTGTCAGTGATGCATCCAATCAAACGGCACCACAAAAGTTTCTACCGCGAAACAAACAAATCGACATTGACCGAAACTATTTGGCACACCCAACGATAAATATTTGATTTCGCGTGAAACATTATGCCATTAATGAATGCCCCTGGTCGACTCCCTGCCGCGCCCTTATTTCCATGCACACATCAATATCGTCACTAGCCATAACAAGTTGTCGGCAAAAACACCGGCAACCTTTGAAGAGAGAGCAGAGAGCGTCCCTCATCTCTTTCTTTGGCATCATGGCCAATCTAACAGTTGATCTGCCCTTCACTATGGCGACCTAATCATTCAACTTCAAGGGTTTGAAGATTAAGATGTTTGTACTTTTATCTGATCCCTATAATTAAATTAACAGCCCAAATATGCTTGTTTGGAAACATTTTAATTAGTAATTAATTATTAATCAACGGTTAGTTATCTACCCATAATATAATACGCCGAAGGAAAAAACAGGAGCCCCATTTCAAAATTTCTGCTCTATGAGCTTTTGTAGGAAGGGTAGAATAGGGAGTCTAATTTTTTACTCTTTCCTATACTACTGGCCTGAACTACCGCCTCTCAAAGCAGCTGGCCGTCCACCGACGAATGTTCATCTCTTCCGTTTTGCCGCAGGTGAATGCAGAGTTTACGAAAGCGACTGGGGATTTCTTGAACCTCCTGGAACAACCCACTACACCGGATTATGATTCTTGGAATTTCATTCTCTGTGCAATTAGAACGCCTAAGAACCTGAATTTCACGAAGGAATTTTTCATTTCCAGCAGTCAGAAGAAACCCCTTCGATTATCTCAGTCATCGTCGACTCCCCCCCTTTCCGCAGCGTCCTCTCCTCCACCAAACTCCGATACAATAGCCCCGACGCCTAACTCCCATCATCTCTACCATGAGTCTATCGAAGGAATATTCAACCACGTCGCGGTACGCCGTCGAACTAATTGCTTGAATCCCCGCATTTGTATCTGGTTCAAGCTCCTGCCGCGAAGGGATGGAGATGAACAAGTGAAGGCCCAATCATCACACAAATATCTGCAATCGAATTGAAGTCATCCAAGGTAATTGAAACGCTGAATGCAGGTTAAGAAAACCCCCCAATATCTTCAATTATCGTTGTGGTACTTTTGCTCCTTTGGCCAAACTGTTGATCATCTTTACTTAAGAATTTGCAAATTTTGTATATTGAATTCATTACTCACTTGGTTTATGGGCTGTGTTTCTGTATATCCCTACATTAATGGATATAATAATGATTTGCTCAGCATTAGTACAAAAGGCCAAGAAATTGATCTCTTACTTTGAGTATATAGTGGCCATTGACCAATCCTCCAATCCAAAGTGAGGATGTTTTGTTTTTGATAGGTTGCACTTATTTAATATATCTTTTTTGATGTTGTTGTTTGATTTTGTTTGCTTGCTTTTGTGTTCTATTTATATGTTCAGTGTCTCAAGGAGTTATATGCAGTCAGATGGTGTGGTTGGGGAAAACCCGAGTCAGAGAATAGTAGATGGAAAATCTTAGTTTGGCAATGGTTTTTTCCCTTATTTATATTTCTTAACCTCGTGCTTAAATGTGTACCCAAAGAAGTAATTCAACGTCATGCATCATGTATATAAGCTGACTCAGGGTGTTACGTGAGCCAGTAGGCAAACAGCTGTGATATCCTTGCAACCTCATTCTTTAATGGTTTCGATTCAGGATGAAATAGCATATGTGATATCCTTGCCTCATTCTACTTCGCTTATGTCTAGGATTGTTGGGTTGTAGAGATTAAATGATACGAAGAGCTGTTATCATTCAATAGCTACCAACGACCATGTTTTTTCAATAATTGTTTTTTCTTCTTCTTTGAGTATGCAAGTAATATATTATAGATAATATTTGAAAAACAATGAGTTGGATTGTTTATGTCGATGATTAATTGTGGTTCTGTTTTCTGCTACTTTCAGGATTCTAGAAATTCGGCCCCATCCGTCTTTTGCTTTCATTTGGTTTGTGCTTCATTATTCCACTTCTTGACAGCAGCTGGGGATTCGCAATTTGCTTGCTTTCCTGGTTTGTTTTGATGTAGGACCTATACATTTGGTTGCCATCCTCAGGGTATTCTGATTTTTTGGTTCTTAGATTGATAGTAGTGAGCTCTCTAAACCACACTTACCACAAGGACTCTATGTTGGATTAGAATAGGCTGACTCACTTATATCATCTTATTTTAAGCTTATGTTTGACTTCCTTTGAACTCTCCAGCAATTGATTACTCATATTGGTTTTAGGGATTGGTCGACCATTTGATACATGTTGTGTATTGAGTGCATTTGTTAAGTATACTTAGTATAGGGTTGAGATGATGAATCTGTGTCATCGACCTAACGTCCAAATGCTAGCCCGAAGCCTGAAGGTCATTTTGATCATATTAAATAGGTCTTTCTTTCCAATAGCAACTTCTGTCAAGGGCTGCGTTTTAAATTCGTGGTTCATCTTTGCTTTCGCGTTTTTCTTTTCATTATTGATTAGAGATTGCTATAGAGTTTTGTTTCTGTTCTGTTCAGTCTTTGTGTTTCTGGAATTCATAGCATGTGTATTGAGTGCATTTATTAAGTATACTTAGTATAGGGTTTATTTGTTTTCGCTTAGCAATTTGCAGATGCAGCTGTTGCGTCCCTTGCAGAATTGGTTAACTGGTGATTAGTGGACAGGATGAAACATTGCAAAGTTTTTCTGAAATAGTATTTTTTTTTGTTGCCTCATTCCGTCCAATTGAATGGTTTCTATTCAGGATGAAACAACAGTTATGATATCCTTGCCTCATTCTACTTCGTTTATGTCTAGGATTGTTGGGTTGTGGAGATTAAATGATACGAAGAACTGTTATTATTCAATAGCTACCAACGACCATGCTTTTTCAATCATTGTTTTTTATTCTTCTTTGAGTATGCAAGTAATAGATTATGGATAATGTTTGAAAAATGATGAGTTTGATTGTTTATGTCGATGATTAGTTGTGGTTCTGTTTTCTGCTACTTCTTGGATTCTAGAAATTTGGCCCCATCATCTTTTGCTTTCATTTGGTTTGTGCTTCATTATTCCACTTCTTGACAGTAGCTGGGGATTCGCAATTGCTTGCTTTACTGCCAGGCCTGTGCTTTGCAGAACCTGCTCCCAACTATTGTAGTATGTGTATTCCTGTTAATCTTATAATGAATGAAAATCTAGCTCTTCTCTAGTTTAAGTGTGATTATAGTTAGAATTTGTTTCTATCTTGCAGTCCTGTACTACAACTGGTCTACATCTATACATCGTATTCTAAGGATTCATCTGTAAACATGGTTGGGATGCCCAGGGTGAACAACTTTGAGATTTTTCGAAACAATATAATAGATCAATTTCAATAATCATTAGATCCATAGTATTGCACATACCTACTGCTTTAGTTTCAACTTTTCCTGATTTGTTAAATGCAGCGGGTACAAGTTGACTATACAGCTTCGCAGTTTCTTTCTGGTGAAGGTGGAGTGACTATGACAGCACCTACCAATCAGTCAAAAAGAAAACATGATTCAATAGTTGATATTGTTGAGTAAACCCAGTCTTTGTTCTGCAGCGACATCACTACATCGCTTTCCAAACGTTGCTGCAGTTTGTTAGTTTCCAAAGACTCCTTGTGGTTTGCACGATTGACAGAACAGTTTGATCTACTTTTTATGTTTTGGTTGTTCTAAATATGAATGGTGGCTGTGTATATTAAAATGAGACTAGGGATGGACCATTTTTGTTTTCAAACTCCAATGGATGAGTATATTATCAAGTGTTGTTGTTATTCTGCAGCAGATGAATGGATTTTCCCTATGTGTTTGGACTAGGGGGCACTATCCTTATGTTTATGATTTGTGTCAGTTTGGTTTCACGTGTGTTGGACTATAGCTCTGCCGGTTTATACAAAATTATTTGATTTCTCAATCCACTAGCTTTTCATTTTTGGATTTTGGAGGCAATTGAAATTACAACCACATATGATATTTTGTATGACATTGCTGAAAGTAAAAAAAGTCATACACACTAGAAACACACTTACTAGATACTTCCATTACCAGTATGTTATATAATTCGTCCAATTAATCTCCATCCTTTTACCTATCTCTCTTGGTAATATATTATTAACAACCTCTTCCCAATAAACTATTTGTGGCGAAATGAATTCAATATTATGGACAGTTTTTTTACATGTTACAATCATTAATCTTCACGGACCATAGCCTACAATATGCCAGAACAATTTAAGATTATTCACCTCAGCTATGTCCGGCCAACGGGCCAGGTTATAAGCTAGTAATGATATATATGCCTTTGTTTGTATTTGAATCGTCAGAGTCGTGGCCAAAATAATTAGCGTGAAATTAATTAGTACGGAATAATTATATTATTAAATGTGTATAGTCAGGGTGGCCGAGTGGTCTAAGGCGCCAGACTCAAGTTCTTGTCTTCGAAAGAGGGCGTGGGTTCAAATCCCACTTCTGACATATTTTTTTTACACTTGGGACTTTATAGTATTTGTGGAATAGTAGCGGTGTTCCGTTTGGGAAATTTTTTTTAACAAAATATGAGTTGAATGGTCGTATGAAACGATTATATTATAATTTCAAAATAAAGTACTCTATCGTTATTTTTTCGATATAACCTCCGATATGGTTGGTTTTATGAGTATGAAAATGTTGAACCACGATTTAACCACAAAATACCATCCCACTTCTGACATATTTTTTTACACTTGGATTTTATAGTATTTGTGGAATCGTAGCGCTGTTCCGTTCGGGAAAAACTTCTTAGCGAAATATGAGTTGAATGGTCGTATGAAAAGGTTATATCACAATTTCAAAATAAAGTACTCTACTGTTATTTTTTTCGATATAACCTCCTGTACGGTTGGTTTTATGAGTATGAAAATGTTGAACCACGATTTAACCACAAAATACCATACCACTAACTTTTCCACATACGGTTTTACAATCCTAACTTTCATAGCCTGAGTTATGTTCTAAAAAATTTTATAGTGTTTGTGGAATCGTAGCGGAGTTCCGTTCGGGAAAAACTTCTTGCCGAAATATGAGTTGAGAGGTGGTATGAAACGGTTGTACCATGAAACGGTTGTACAATGAATTCAACACAAAGTACTCTGTCGCTAATTTTTTCGATACAACCTCCGGTATGGTTGATTTTATGAGTATGAAAATGTTGAACAATGATTTAACCACAAAATACCATACATGTTGGGTGTGGTATTAACTCGCCTAATACAACAAACGACTATTAATGGGACCAAGCCCACCACAAGGCGTCTTGGACACAAGCCCCCTCAAGGAGGCCCATTGTTCCTATATAAGAAGGCCAAAGGCCTCTAAGAAGAGGATCATCTCCTCTCCTTCCTCACTTTCTCTAAATGTCTCTCTCTCTACTCTCTCTCTAAACACTATACACCTTCTCTATATAGTACTAACTTGGGCGTAATAGTGTAGATCTCGCCCCCCCCCCCCCCCTCCCCCTCACAGGTTCTTCCACTCCCGAGGAGATCGAACGAGGGAGTCCAGATCGGAGCCCCATAATTACTATGTTAGCCTTGGTAATTTCCTAGTGCAAACAATTTGGCCCCACCGTGGGCACAGATTCTGGTACTTCTTTGGTTTGATTTCTAAAAGGGGGAAAATCAGCTCTTCCTCCACCAACTACAAGCAGCAACAACAACAAAATCCAACCAAAGCCGTCGGACCAAAAGAAAAGCGCTCGGAACTACCTTTTCTTGGAAGTGGATTCTTTCCTCACCAACCACAAAAGTATTGGCGGCAATCATTCATCTCCGCCATTACAATCCACGAGGGGCGGAGCTACCTTATATCCGGCCCCTGGGATCTTAAGTATATTTAGTAAAATATTTGAGTAAGAATTGGCCATACATAATAATAAGATGTTATTGTAGTCTGACGGTAAGCAGACTTAGCTTTTAGAGTTGAGGACGTGGGATCGGATCGTAACTATTTGAACTTTTGGCCACTTTTTCACAATTCCCTAGCATAAACCCTTCCCTACGCAAAAATGAAAAAACTAACAAATCGCAACTATTTGAACTTTTGGCCACTTTTTCTCAATTCCCTAGCATAAACCTTCCCTACGCAAAAATGAAAAAAACTAACATATAAATAGGGTTAATTGCAAGGATGGTCATTGGGTTTACTAAAACCATTCATGTTTGGTCACTGCAAATATTTAATTCCATTCATGGTCACTAAGATTAGTTCAATAGTTCAAGTTTGGTCATCTCCGTCAGTCTCAGTTAGTTTTTGCTGATGTGGCAGTCAACTATTATAGTTGACCGTTAAATGAGTGACGTGGCCAATAAAAAAATAATAAAATTTAAATATTTACAATTTCCACCTCATTTTACAACTATTAGAAAATAAAAATAAAACTTACCTATTTCGCCACCTTTCTTCTCACATTAGTCCAAACCGAGCAGCAGCATATTGTTCTAATGGACTCCAATGTCATGCCAAAAGCCTTCCAATCTCCACACCACTGGCACCTAGCCTCTTTGTCGTCGATTTCGCAGTCAGAATCCCCTACCTCCAAGCTAATCTACTCCTACTCCAACGTCCTCGACGGATTCTGTGCTTTCCTCACTGACCCGGCGCTGTCGCCGGCGGGTTGAGCTCCGGCCCCGCCCTCTCCGTGAAGAGCTGGTGGGTGGTCGGGATATTACCCTCCTTCCTCAAAATGTCGAAGGCGAATGCAGAGGAAGTAGCGGGGATGTTGTTGAGAGAGCGGGGAAAGGGTTCTATCTCGGTGTTGATTATGTCGGAGGAGGAATCTGAATCGTTGCCGTCGACGTCGGGGAAATCGCGATCTGGGAATCGAGCATCCATCATCGTCAATTGTGTAGGCGATTCGGATGATGATCGGAGCTTCTTCGCCGCCGCGGCGAGGCACGACATCGTATTGGGGTGGAGGAGGATGTCTAGATTGAGATCTGGAGCAGAAACAGAGGACGCCGGGAAATGGGTTTTGGTGGGGTTGCTGCTCGGAATCTTCCTCTTGCTCATCGATCTATGCTGTAAATTGTGATTGGATGATCGGAGGAAGGAATCCGGGGTAGAGAGAGATGGTGTAAGCGAGTTTGGAAATTGCTCGCTGCTATACTTGCAGATGATTTGGAGTTTTATATGCACAATTCTGGGAACCGAGAGAAAAAACAGGGGAGGTAGAGAGAGAGAGAGAGAGAGAGAGAGAGAGAGAGAGGAGGGGACGTGTTGAGTGAGACCCAGAGAGCAGAGCATCATTATTCCATTAATTAATTCCTCCTCTGCCTATGAATATGATGTTAGTTGTTGTTTTTCCATGGTTGCCCCGGCGAGGTGGAAAGGGCAGTGTCACTTCAACAACGGCTCGCTGTGTAACAACAAGCTTGTTGGAGCGCGCGTCTTCAACAATTCCTTGATCGCAGCCTTTCTGTGGGGGCGAAGAGCGTGAAACTTACCTTTTTCGCGGTCAGGGGGCACGAAGAGCGTGAACGCGGGGGAGGAGTTGGAGGAGAGGAGGCTGAATCGGAGATCCGTGGTGGCGACGACGTTGAGGAGGAGGTAAGTTTTATTTTTATTTTTAATAGTTGTAAGATGAGGTGGAAATTGTAAATATTTATATTTTATTATTTTTTATTGACCACATCACTCATTTAACGGTCAACTATAATAGTTGACTGCCACATCAGCAAAAACTAACGGAGACTAAAGGAGAGTGACCAAACTTGAATTATTGAACTAATCTTAGTGACCATGAATGGAATTAAATATTTGCAGTGACCAAATATGAACGGTTTTAGTAAACCAGTGACCATCCTTGCAATTAACCCCATATAAATAGCTATACCCTAAATATGTATTAACTTAACGAATACCTTTAAACCATGGTCCATGAAACCATATCGAAAAAGTCAGCAGTAGGGTATTTTATGACAAAACCGTGGTTTAACCGTAGTTCAACCGTTAGTACCGTGAAATAGCATCTACCGGTTTAGCCTCCAATACTGGTATTTTGTGATTGAACCGCCGATACGGTACGGTTTCATGGACCATGCTTTAAACTAATTATAAATTTTCTTTTCCGGCCCATGGGGTCTCGAAAACTTGACTCCACTCCTGCAATCCACCACCGTCACCAGTTGCCGCTAGTTGCTCGTCTCTATCAGCTCTGACGTCGCTCCCCTAATGCAGATCTGGCGGAGTAGTCATAGTAACAAGTATCAATGTCAACAACTAAAAGGGCAAAGATAAGTTGAAGAATAAATGAAGAAAGAAGGAAGTCAGAAAAGGAGAAGAATACAGTCAGCAACAAAATAAAAGGGGTTAATTGTATGGTTGGTCACAGAGATTACAAAAAACGTTCATGTTTGGTCACTCGAAATATTTAAATCCATTGGTGGTACTTCAGTTTGCTGAAACCGTTCACGTTTGGTCACTCTCCTTTAGTCGTCGTCCATCTCCGTTAATGAAGTCCGTTAAGTGATGACATGGCGGACAGAATCGTCAAATGAGCCCTATTTAACCCGAAAATAGTGCGACCCGACACACCACGTCAAAATAAATTCACTAATATAAGATCATTTTACTTAGAGATTCGTATATCGATCATGCCGGTCATACCGGTAGTATCACACCGGTTTTATGACCGGTACAGGTTGAACCAGATTCAACCAGTGGCACGGTCGGCGTGACAACCATGGTGAAGAGAAACCACCACGGTCGAGTATTTGGAAACGTCTGAGAGAGTTAAAGATGCGAAGGAATCTAACCCAGGCAAAAACGTCCACAGCCGCGGTGCCTTGCATTTTGAAGCCCCAAGATCCGGAACCACCAGGCATAAGAAGCAAGACAAACAGAAAGCGTCCCCAACGCATTGAACTCCTAACTGACTGTTGATATGCCTCAAAGAAAGAACGCATGTGATTCCAAAGAGAAGGAAGACTTATATGCTTTGAGACTAAAGACGACCAAGGCCTCGGAAAAGAAGTCGGATTGTCGAAATGAAAAACAAAGCGAAGAAGCAATGTAACATCCCATTCCAAATAAATTCATATTTAGGTCGCTAAAAATTGCGTGATTAAAATAGAGTATATCGATCGATCAGATAAGTATTCGTATTAATTATATATTATATATATAATTAAAAAGGAAAATAAAAGCTAAAGAACAACAGAAGCGGCCGAACCGCTTTGCCATTCTTTGTACACCCACTCTCTCGTCTTTATATATGCACACGCACCTCACTTCCCATTTCTTCCATTTTCTGTCCCGCAAGCAAACTGGAGAGCAGAAACAGGGGAGGTTTGGATAGTTTTGGACAGCTGGGTTCTTTGGGTTTTAGCGATCCAAATTGGTGCAATCGATAGGTAATCCATCAATACAACCTAGTTTATCAATCTCGCAGTTGATAGCAAAGTTTTTGGACTAGCAATTTCTTGAATTTCCGATAGTGTGAATTAGAGTTTTGGAGGATCAAGAAGTCGGATTAATTCTAAATTTCATATACGAGCTATCTGCGGCGAGATAAAGAATTTTCTAGTTCTAACCTTTGAATTTCGGCAATCAATTAGGTCAAAGTCCCAATTGTTGAATTTAGCTCCGGCCAGAGTTTCATGTGTTTTTATCGAGAATTTGACCCAGAGCCTAGTACAAACTTTGACTTGGACGCTGCAGGGGATACTAGGACGGTTTCGAATTTTGTTTCTGGGTTAGTTGGTGAAAGTGAAGTTTTAGTACGGGAGGCTAAAACCGGTGTTTGAACGACCATAACTGGTGAAGGATTAACACGACATACTGGGTTTGTAGTATCACGATAATTATATTGATGCTTAGAATTGATCTATGTGAACTAGAATGACATGATTAGGGGTGTATGGACTTTTGTGCAAGAAGATCAACCCTGGACTGCTGTATGATATTATTGACTTGCCCTAATTGTCATTTGTTGCTTGACTATTGATATGACTTCATGGTTATTCGATAAGGTGTTTTGACATAATGTGATATTATGGTTCGTGGGGGAAATAAATTTCCCAAGGTGATATTATGATGTTTAAGAAGGATGACTTGCGCGAGGGTTCATCTCGAGGAAGTGCAATTATACGACTCCTGGTTTACCTTTGCTGAGCCAATTGTGGCCAGGTCAAGAACATGTTCAAGTAATAAATTATGATTAAGCAAGATGATATATGAATCATATAGGGAACTTCAAAAGATCGGTATGTGTCATTTCGGTTCGGTTCAAACCGAACCGACCGGCCCACCCCTAACTCGAGATAGTAAATAGCTAAAATCATCCGAATCCGATCCACCACTGAGATTTTCATGGGCCAGCAAACGCGTCGTCGGCCCACTTGACAGAAACTGATTTTCCATCAGTCCTGGGCTTCCCGTTGGGCTTGTCTTTGTTGCTATTGGACCGGGAGAGCCGCCCAAACAGGCCATGGACTGCACCCCGCACTCTATTCATCCGCTTCCGCTGCCGTATCTGCCTCAGCACCGCCTCTTTATTCAGCGTCCCGGCGGCGTCCCCCGGTGACCGGATGCACACCTGGCTGGTGACGGCGCTCAGGACAACTCCTCCTTCTCCTTCTACTTCTTCTGCTGCTTCATAGTCCTCCCAAGGATTTCGACCGTCGACGTCCGTCGTCGGCTGAGGTTTCGCCACCGTGGAAGACATGGTTGTAGCGCTAACTAGTTGGTTGATTACTTGGCCTCTTGTAACAAGTCTGTGTGTTGGAGGTTTGGAAGTTTCAGGAGAAGAATGGGATGGGAGCAAAGACTGGGGTTGATGGGTTGAATTTATAGGGAGAGATTAAGCTAATGGAAGTAGAGGTTGCGACAGACATGGTGTGGATAAGGTCGGTTTTGGTGGGTCGAGGTTGTCTGTCTGCTTCGTCGGGGAGGGGTACTGTTTTGTCGGAATCAGGTGGCAACAGAATCCAGGTTTTTTTTTTTAATTTGGGTGCTTTGCTAAAGTAAGCTTAATCCCTTTTTGGCCATTTTTATATTGATTCACTTGCTTTGATAGATTCTCTTTGTCGCATTATGTCAGCCATAATAATGCCTGAAGTTTATAAGCATACCAGTCCACCATAATATACAGTGGGTATGAACAGTGCACGTTTGTTTAATTAGTAATTACACGGTCGCTTCTTTACCTTTACGAAAAGAAGCATCAACCGCATATGGGTATTGGATTCCATTCCGAACCAAAGGCGCATACTTTCGGTTATATTATAACAAATCTTTTATGCAAAATGTTAGCTTCGGGAGGGGAGAGATTATAACATCTTCCGACAATCTTGAAGAACACCAATGTATTGCAAACTGACAGTTTCTCATTAATAACGATGCAAGACTTAAATACTTGAGGTTTATGCCACAGAGATCGGCCAAACCACCTCCCACTACTAATAGATTCCTACTAATCAGCTAACATGATTTGTACTAACGGCTAAGACTCTTAACAAATCAAATAGACTGTTCGACCCAGACTCAAAACAACAAGTACTAAATAGACACTTAGCCAAAACGCACAGCTTGGCCTTATTCGACAGACTCAACCTCAAACCGACGTTGCAGCAACTAACAGCAACATCAGTCTTTAGTTCAGCACCAAAGCGACGTCACAGCAACCAATCTGAATCCGAGAAGGACAAGGATTCCAGCTTCAGTTCACAATCTAACAAGTCCTCCCCTGAACTGAAGCTGGTTTTGCTCTTCTTCTGTTTACTCCTTCAGCTTTAGATCTTCCACATCATATACTCCCAGTTTGCTTCTCAAGATCTGAAATGTTTCGAGTTTGAGGGGCTTGGTCATCAAATCTGCTCATGGGTTCTGCAGTGTTCAAGCTCCATTACACCTTCTTTTACCAGCTCTCTTAGAAAATGAAACCGAACATCTATGTGTTTACTCCTCCCATGTAGAACTGGATTTTTGGCCAGTTTGATGGTGGAGCTGTTGTCACATAAGATGATTGTTCCAATCTGTATACTGCTGTTCCATCCCATTTCTGCTAGAATCTTCCTCAGCCAGATGCACTGTGTGGCACAGAAACAGGCTGCAACAAACTCAGCCTCAGTTGTTGAGAGAGTTACAACTGGTTGCTTCTTGGAAGCCCACGACACTGCTGCTCCTGCAAGAAAAAAGACATAGCCAGAGGTACTTTTTCTATCATCAAAGTCTCCTGCATAATCTGAGTCTGTGTAACCAATCAAACTTTTATCCTCCTCCCCTCTGCTCCTTCTGTACTAGATTCCATGATTCATAGTGCCTTTTAGGTACCTGAGTACCCTTTTTGCTGCCAAGAAATGCTGCCTGGTAGGTGAGTCCATGTACCTGCTCAACAAACATATAGAGTACATAATGTCTGGTCTCGTTGCTGTGACATACAACAAACTTCCTATCAGTCTTTTGTACTCAGTGGGATTGACAGCAACTCCATCTCCAGTTCTTGTTAATTTCAACCCTGGTGCTGGAGGATTGAGTGCATAGTTGCATTCCAGGAGCTTAAATTTCTCCAGGAGCTCCTTTATGTACTTTACTTGACAGATAAATATCCCTTCATCCTTCTGAAGCACCTCCACACCAAGAAAGTATCTCATTCTGCCTAGATCTGTCATCTCAAATTCAGCTTGCATAGATGACTTGAAGTTCTCAATCATTACTAGACTGTTGCTTGCATACATCAAATCATCTACATAGAGACTGAGAATGAGAATATCAGATCCTGACCTCTTGATGAACAATGTATGTTCATAGTTGCACTTTTTGAAACTAGTCTTCTCAAAGTATGCTTCAATCCTGCTGTACCAAGCTCTTGGTGCTTGCTTGAGGCCATACAGGGCTTTATGCAACCTGTATACTTTCTTTTCCTCCTCAGCAACCTCAAAGCCTTGAGGTTGCTCAACATAGATCTCTTCTGTTAGCTCTCCATGCAGAAAAGCACTCTTCACATCCAGCTGGTGCACTGTTAACCCAAAATGAGCCGATAGGGCTAGAAGAGTCCTGATGGTATCCCACCTGGCTACTGGGGAAAACACCTCAGTGTAATCAATCCCCTCTTTCTGTGCATATCCTTTCACCACTAAACGAGCTTTGAACTTGTATAGGGTACCATCTTCTTTAAGTTTTGTCCTGTAAACCCACTTGAGTCCTATTGCTTGACAGCCTGCTGGTAGATCAGTGAGTTCCCAGGTAAGGTTCTTCTTTATTGACTGCATCTCAGCCTTCATTGCTTCCTCCCATCTAGGATCCTTGCAAGCTTCCTCATAAGATTGTGGATCATCAGCCAAGGCCACAAAGGCCATCCAATCTTCTTCTGCTAGTTTGCAATCTGGCATAGTGAAGTGAGTTTGCCAGTCATAGCTTGCCACTTTGGCTGGTGGCTTCCTGATCCTTTTGGTGCTGGCAGGTCCCAGCACATCAGTTGTTGTACCATGATCCTCCTCTTCTGCTTCTTTGTCACTCATCGTTGGATTTGGAGTTTTTGGACTACCAGGTTGCTTGAGTTCCAGCAGTATCAGGATCTGAATCTGCTTCTTGATCAGATTCCTCTTCTGCATCAGAATCTTCCCAATCCTCATCACTTCCTTTCCAAACCAACTTGGTTGGCTCTGGTGGTGAGTCTAAATTCCAACTCCAGCCTTTTGTTTCATCAAACACAACATCTCTACTCACCACCACAACATTAGTTCTAGGATTAAACAGTTTATAGGCCTTAAGATTCAACAGAAATTCCTAGAAACTGGCACTTCTCACTCTTATCATCAAGCTTCTTCCTGTGTTGATCTGGTATGTGTGCATATGCAACACAACCAAAGATCTTAAAGTGAGACACAGAAGGAGGCTTACCAGCCCAGAGCTCTTGGGGGGTTTTGCCTTGATTTGCTGTAGTTGGACTTCTGTTTAGCACATGACAGGTCCAGGCCACTGCTTCAGCCCAGAACTCAGATGGAACACTCATGTCCTTCAACATGCATCGAACCATGTTCATCAAGGTCCTGTTCCTTCTTTCTGCTACTCCATTTTGCTGAGGTGTAAAAGCAGCAGTGAGTTGCCTCTTTATTCCAGCTTCCTCACAAAGCTGCTTGAGTTCATTCAACATAAACTCACCACCCCTATCAGTTCTTAAGCACTTAATCTCCAAATCCATTTCCTTCTCAACTTGCAGCTTATATTTTTTGAAACTTTCCAAGGTATCTGACTTAGCTACCATGAAAAACACCCACATTTTTCTGCTGTAATCATCAATCAAAGTGAGTATGTACCTCTTTCCTCCATTTGATACTGGAGTGATAGGACCACAGAGGTCTACATGAACTAGCTGCAGTGCTTCAGTTGCTCTCCATTGGCTCTTCTTAGGAAAGGGCTTCCGATGTTGCTTGCCAATCATGCAGGTTTCACAAACTCCAATTCCTCCTTTTAACTTTGGCAGATCCCTCACAAGCTTCTTTGTTTGCAGAAGCTGCAAATTTGCTACTCCCAAGTGACCAAACCTGCGATGCCATAGTGTAAGTGTTGTATCTATGCCAACATTAGTCTTGAGACACTGAGAAAGCTGACTTGCAGGTGTATGCTCAGCATGAAGAACAAACATCCTGTTTGTTTTCATTTCAGTCTGCAACAACAGACCCTTTTCTGCATGATAAATCTTGCAGTTACCTTCTTTGATCACAAAAGTAAGCCCTTTCTCCTGCCATTGACCAATACTCAACAGGTTGCTCTTAAGTCCAGGAACATAGAATACCTCCTGGATTGTTATGCTTCTTTGATTCACTTGCATCTTTACTTCCCCTTTCCCAGCAACTTCTAACTTGGAATTATTTCCTAGTCTTACTGTGCAAGCAAAACTAGCATCTATGCTAGTGAACCATTTTCTATCACCACTCATGTGGTTGCTGCAGCCAGAATCCAGAAACCATCAATCATTATTTGACTTCTCTTTGATAGAATTCAGAAGAGCCATCAATCCCTGTGTATCATCTTCCCACTCAATTAAGTCTTCAGATTCTACACAGGCCATTAACAGCATGTCCTCATTCATGTCTCCATAGCTCTTATCTTGTATGCTACCAGAAGCTGCATAATGTGCCTGTTGATTGGAATACCACTCAGGGCACTCATATTTGAAATGCCCCAATTTGTGGCATTTGAAACATTCAACAGATTCCTTACTCCAGCCTCTGCCTCCTCTTCCTCTACCACCTCTTCCCTGGTAGAAACCTCTTCCCTGACCTCTGCCACCTCTCCCATACTCATGAGAGATTCTTAAAGCATGTTCTTCTTCACCAGCAGTTTTTGCAGACCTTCTGTTGAACTTTTGCTCATGCACCAGAAGAGAGCTTTGGAGTGCATCAACTGTTAAGAGTTCTATGTCTTTGGATTCTTCTATAGAACAAACTACATAATTGAATTTGTCAGTCAAAGTTCTAAGAATTTTCTCAACAACCTTCCCATCAGACATGTCCTCTCCACAGTTTCTCATAGTATTAGCAACAATCATCACCCTAGCAAAATACTCAGACACTGATTCATCCTCTTTCATTTCAAGCAGTTCAAAGTTCCTTCTGAGTACCTGTAACTGAGCCTTTTGAACCCTTGCACTGCCCTGAAACTTCTCTTTCATGGATTCCCACAGTTCTCTTGCAGTACCTTTCTTAGCAATGGTCTTCAGGAGTGTTCTATCAATGCTTCTGAACAGGTAGTTCTTTGCTTTTAGATCTTTCAATCTTAACTCCTCCAGACTCTTTGTTTGTGCTGCTGTTAAC